TTAATATGTTAACTGTTGTTTGTGAACAACATCAATCATGTTTATCAGTGATCAAAGAATGTCGGAAACAGCCACTGAGTTAATTCAATGCCTGTGTAACAGTTAAACCTGATTATGATTCTATATAATAAATAGTATGGGAATAGGACATTGGTGGTGATTAGAGTCTTGGGCATGTCAAACTGATTTAATTTCATTACTCTTATTTTTTGTGTAGTGCCTGATAATCCTTCTCGACACCTTCGTGGACAGAAATGCCTCATTCACTTCCACTGAAACAACATTTTTTAATCTCTCTGCATTGCAGTATAAAACCATGCATTCTGTAATGTTAGCATTTCATTTGGAAGAAAAGCAGTGATATTTGACATTTTTACTGTACTTCACCAATTCTTGTATTTTTGGCAGCTGTATTATGGAGTCCTGCAAAAACAAAATGCAGTGGTTCAAATGTCTAAACCGGCATTTAAAGGGTTAAAATTCTGAAAATCATTTAAGCTTGCTCATTTTGAAAAGGTTAAAGTTGGTGATTTATGAAAACACGCAGAAAAATTATTGCTGTATTTTATGGCAGATTTTGTGCGTGAACATTTTTTGTCCACGAAGGTGTGGAAAGGGGTGCAAAATTTGAGGAGGGCACAAGGGTTAAAGGCAAAGCTCTCCTGCACAGAGAATAATAACACCCGAGAAAGGATTCTTTTATATAGAAAGAATTAGCTGACATGTGTCTGACGTTATGTTCTGCTTACAAGTGTCACTATGAGCCAGAAATTTCCAGGGTCTCAACAGCCATAGCATGATTGACTTATAGAGCTGCATAGTGACTGCAAAACGTATCTGCACCGTTAGAAAACACAGCGATGTCATAAACACCTATAAGAAAAACAAAAAACATGCATAACAATCAGCGCTACGTAGATAAACGCTGTTGGAGGACCAGCTGCCCTGTTTTCCGACCGTCCCTGTACAGTTACAGTAACGTTAGCTCGATCAACTGTAGAGCCCACTCTGATTGGATCATGGCTTCCCCAAAAAACTGGTGGCCATAACGGATATGCAGACAAAATCAAAGTTAAGATGAAAGTCGAGCACCTGACATGACCTATTTAACATTTAAAGATGCATAATTTAACTTGTGTATCGCGTTTATAGACACGCGGTTTCACAAAAGCCCTAAATTCGGCCGTTTTTTCGCCGCCGCTTTGCTCGATCGTTGGGTAACTTAGCCATCTGCTAACGTCAGCTAGCATAGCCCGTTAGCTGGCTCTGGTTTCCATGTAGCGAACTGCGTCCGTGTCAGAAAGTTTGGACAGTTAGCAGTTCCTAACAGTAGTTACACCTCCGTATTCATCAAAACCGAACCACCGTTAGTCGTTTTACCTTTTCGCTGGATTGAAATTGCAGATAATTAGATGAAATTTTTATAATATTTCTTCAAAATATGACTGCTGTCCATAAGTTCACTCCCCCTCGGTGTTGTTTTGCTGTCATGTTTAAGTTGTTCTTGTGTCGCCATTACTGATTTGTCAATGTCACCGGAAGTCCCACCTACCGTAAACGGTGATAGGCTGAATCGCTGTCACTCTTGCAGTGTTGTTTTTGGGCGTGTGTCCGCTCTGTGACCAGTGCTGTAACTTTGAGAGCAGCAGCCTGGACGAATATCCCGCTCATGTAAAAGTTTATTACAAACGCGCGGTTCATGGTTTGTGTTGTAATAACGTATTTGATGCTGTCCATCTGTCAGTGCTCTTCTCCCTGCCTTTAGAAATGAATACTTAAAAAATAATACTTTGCTTTTATAATTGTGTTTAACATCAGGGTAATTAGCAATTAGTTATACAGACTGTACATATATGCACTGCACTGTGTGTATAATATGTATGTATGTAACGTATGTATGCCTTTATATGTTCTTAGTCACTACAGCAGGAAAATACAAGCTCACTTTTTTATTGTTTCAAGTTTTAATTCAAGTTTTATTCATATTTAACATTTAATACATGAAGCTTCAAAAGCATGCAGAAGCAAACTTTATGGACAGAAGGCCTGATCCAACGTAGAATCCGTGGGATGGTGAGCTTTGGGCCAGTGGTGGGTCATTCAATTCTCTTTTAAAGAAAACTGTCTGAAAGGATCCTAATAAATGAGTAGTTTTTTCTTGCTGTCAGTATTTCACAGTAAAATACCAATAAGAGTCCTTCATTAAATCACCATGTGGAGTTGATATGACCGTGACATGGCATGGTTATGGAGCAGTTACCGCTGTCACCATCCTTCGCAGCACGAAGGTTCTTGGCTCAAATCCCAGCTCT